CTGTTTTAATGCTACCAGGGTAACCTAACACTGAACTGTGATCAACAGTGCTGATGGAATCAATTTGTTTGGCCTCTAAAGAAGAACTATGGAACAAAACAGGAAATCTTGGTGTAGTAAAACACATTTTAAAATATACTACAGGAGCTGATATAGATCATACTCTCCCATGCATTAATTCTGCATGTCCATTACAGTGCACTGAGAATACACAGTTACATTTTTTGTCTTCATTTCAATTCTAACTTGTGAAATCATCAGTAGCAGCTAAAATCCAAAACCTGGACACTTTTCCATGATGTGCACGTCTCTCAGTTATTGCTGCATAAAGTCCACTGCAGTATTGGGAGGCTAATGTTTGAGGAGAGTGTGATTCTAGGCAAGGTGCTGCCAAGCTAATTACCAGTCAACTCACTGACTAAATGCTCACATTTTCCCACTGCGCTGTATCTTCTGTTCTCAGGATGAAAAAAAAGCTCTAATCCTTTTTCTTGTTCATTAAACTCGAGTCGGGCAAACACTCACAGTAGGCCGCTTGATAACTGGCTTTTGAGTGAAACGGTAAAGTTTGGAGTCGAGGGTCTCTCAGCGCACCTCAACCTGGGAGAGGAGATTTACATGCCTCGGCTGATTGTACGCCTCTTCATTCTTAGCTCACACCTAATTCTCAGGGTGTTGCCGTTAAATGTTGCCCCGAAGAAGCCTATAGGCATAAACACTTCTCAAATGGAAAAACTGTGGTCTAGGTGCCAGATGCCCTTGCAGCCAATTCTGTAAAAGTAAGCTGGAAGACATGAAAACCAAAAATTTTAATACATTATGCAAACTGCACCCCTGTGGGCACTGACAGACTGAGCTTGTAAGTTGGTTGGTAATTGCATCATATGACCAGCAACACAAACACAAACATGGATGCATAAATGTGATTGTGGACTGCACACACTCGGAATATTACAACATCGATCTCTCTCAGCTGCCACCGAAACAGTACAAGGCTGTGAGTCACATGATTATCGAGCTCAGGGCAGATGAATGGATGCATGGACGAACGGGTGAAAAGAAGGATGGATGGCGTATTATATGTCTAATGGCCGTGTGCTAACAGATGAGCTTACAAAGGGTGGATGAGTTTGCAGAGCAGGTCTGCCACACAATTAATCGGCGAGGATAGTCACAATGATCCTGTCTATTGATTGGTTTTAGCTGATAGAGAGCCTTGCTCGTAGGAGGTTCAGATCAGACTCTCGAAGGAGGCTTGACTGATATTTACATGCAGATGCTGACATTTGTGGATGAACATTTATATGATATTTTTCATGTCAAGACGTGTAATGATTCTGTGTTCCCTCCAAAGGCAGTAGACATGTTGTCTTGTTCGGGCTAGTTGGGGGGTATAATTACTTAACTGTGAGGCATTTGGAGGTCTGCTACAGACACTGTTGAAAATAATAATATCCAGCCCTCTGATAGGATTGGTAGATAGAATGTAAGTGCAGACAGATGACAGGCAGGAGAGAAAGAAACAACTTTGGAAAACTCATAAACCTCTGACTGAAAAATTATACGAACAAGCAATACACAGAGGGACCTTAGGAAATGCCTATAAATGGTTGCATCATTAGTGAGAATATTGTAGCCAAGAGTCCAGCTCCTAATAGCCCTGAATGAAGCTCCTTTACTTGTTGTGGCGTCTTGCAGGACGTACTTATTCAAGGCTGGGCGCCCAAGTTCTTCCTGGATGTCGGCTAAGCTTGCAATTCTCTCCCTCTAAGCTTCTTTATGCCTGCCTGCACTCTGCATTGTCACTAGTCTCTGGATCCTTTTGACCAGGCTGTTTGATGATGAAATAGACAAACCAATGCGTTCAACCCCTGTACGGTACGTATAGATGGGTGCTGGTCGTCAACTCACCCAAGAGATTCCAATGAATAGAAGGTTGCTATGCCAATTAGGGGCACTATTGGACCGGATCATGTGGAGAAACAGATGCCGAATAAAGGACATTACCCCGCACTTTGTATGTCAAGCATCTGGTCATTTCTTGGTGGGCCTATTGTTAATGCCTGGTAACACCAGCATGAATGGTTAATCTGCATCATCTGCAAGCGTTTGTGTCGAGTTTAACTTTGATAGTGCTGACCTTTGAGGAAACTGAGAGTCCAAAATGGAGGATCATTCACTAGAATTTAACGCTTCCCTGTCAGGAAGGTGCTCTGCACTTATGAAGGAGGAGTTGATGGTATAAATACATATTTTACTATCAATTTTACTGTCAATTTATTGTCCTGGGGCTGTTAGTTAGCGGGCTTCTTAGCTCTGAAAACTTCAATAACTCAGTTTAATGAAATGGTGTACACCACGAAGAACAAAATGCCAGGGGAGAGTAAAGGCCCAGTACAAAGAACATACAAGCTTAGAGCTACTGTGACTAATTAGTGGTTAGCTCACCAGCTACAGTTCACCGACTGGGCCTGTGAGCAAAGACACAGGTGAATTTTAATGTGCCACTTTCTTGATTAATTGGACTTAGAATTGGAGAATTTTAGTCTTTAGAGCAAAAGAACCTCTACTTTGATCATTGTTTGAGACATTAATTCAAATCTAGACTAATGAAACTCTTAATCATTGCGTTTATTACGCAGAGAAAATGAATTTTTATTGCTGTTTTTAGGTTAGCTGATCCAGGAAATAACATCTATCACATTTGCAGTGGAGGGCATCCTCATTATTAGTCACAGGTTAAAAAAAAAACCAGTGTTCATATGGTTAAGTGATTCATCATTTAACATAATTTATTATCAGTTAAACTAATCTGCCGGCCTTACCTTGACTGAAATGATACACATAAGACAAAGCGGCTAAATAACAAAAACTTTGTATTTAAAGTCCGAGGCAGCTGGCCCTCCTGCCCTCCTCCTCCTTATCACAGCTCAGAGAGCCCAGTAATTGAAAAGGAGATTTAGCAAGCCTGTTCTCACAGATGGTGCATCGCATTTCTGAGAGAATAATACGATTGTGGCCCTCACCATTCAATAGCTCTTCTCAACCATTCAAAGTTTAAAGTGAAGCGAACAGACAGACGTGCTGCAGCGGATCTTACTTTCTCTACCATCTCTTGTGCTTCAGTCTGACTCAGGCCTCACGTGGCACCTTGACTCTGGCCTGATGGGAGCCAGCTCATCGCTAAGTCACACTCCTGAAGATGTGTGACTGTTCAAGCACTTTCAGCTTGATGGTTACCTTCTGACAGGCAAAATGAAGCCCACAGAAAAGCCTCTCTGAAAGACAGGCTCTTGTTAGATATTGAGCAATTTTCAGGCAGGATTCTAAGGCCACATTTTCTGATCGGCTGTCAGCCACAAAAAAAGGCCAGCTTTTTATATAAGAATAAGAAGAACACCTATTAACCCAGTCAACATAAAGTTATCAGATTAATTTGATCCCCCCCCTGTTCCTGTCAGCTCTGTTTGCAGATTTCAGATTTCTTCAACCTCAAGCACACATTTGATGGTATTAAAAAGCTTTCCTTCAGACAAGTGTGGAGAAGGTTTGTATGGATTATAAACACTTTCTGCTCCCTTAAGGAATAGTTTGACATTTTGGGAAATACTCTAATTTGTCTTCTTGCCGAGTGTTAGATGAGAAGATCAATACCACTCTCGTGTCTCCGTTCAATTCAGTAAGGAACTATAACCAGCCGCTGCTTAAATTATCTAAGCATAAAGGCAGGAAACAAGAAAGAAACAAGTAGCCTCGCTCTGTCCAAAGGTAACAAAACATGTCTACCAGCACCTCTAAAGCTCACTAATTAACAAATTACCTTGTGTGAGATATTATCTTGCTTGTTTAAAGGTTCAGTGTGTAAATCTTTCCAAGCATGTAGGAGAAGCTTCGGTGGCCGACACGCTCTGTCGGCTCTTGTGCTAAATAATATGTGTGGTCATCCATTTGTCCAAATTTCACATCTCTTCTTACTTCTAATAAACCAGACTACTACTACTACTACTACTACAACAACAACTACTACTACTACTACTACTTCATACATAATCAACGTAGTGACAAAACGTGCTCTGCAAAGCATTTTATCCATTTGGGCTAATGTAGAAACATGGCGGCGCAACATGGCGACATTTATGGTGTATGTAGACAGAAATGGCTCATTATCTAAGGTAATAAAAACATAACGGTTCATTATTTAAGGTCTTTATATACCACGCAAAATATAGTTTTGTTTATTTTTATTGCATTTCTGTCAATAGATCCTCCTAAATATTACACACTGAACATTTAATCTGTACAAAAATATACAAATAATGTAAAAACGATAAGTTATGGTTTTATGGGGGATTGTGTCGAGGAATATTTCTTGGCTGGGCGCAGTGACTTCCTGGAAGTGACTCAACAGACTAAATAATGCTATTTAGTGTGCTTTAGAGGTGCTAGTAGGCCGATTTTCAAACCTTCAAACAGCATTTGGCTGTTTCATCCAAGCTAACCAGTTCAAGTAGCTCTTAGCAGAAAAGCAAATTTACTGAAATATCAAATTGTTCCTATATTAAAATTTAAGTCCACCTGACATTCCTGTCTAGCATAATAGTGTTGCTACATTTAACTACATGACTCTACACAGCTCCACTATGGACGCTAATAGTGGTCAGTGTTTGTAAGAAGAAAGATTGTCTGTGCTACCATAGTCCTTAATGCTGTTTGTTATATTGAAAAATTGTTGAAATATTTACTAAATTGCAGGCACAAAGTCTTGAAAGGAAAACTAAAGAAAACATATCTTGGTTAGAATTAAAAGATTTTAGAAGATTCTTACTGCCCCCAAATACAAAATGGTGTTAAAGCCCTACTTTGCCAGCTAGAGAGACTTATGATGACTTCCATCCCATATTTAAAAAACAAAACACAGCAAATTAAGCTGAAATATATTGTAATGTTGTAGTTTATGTTGCTGTTCAGACCAGGTTTGAAATTAAATAGTTCATTCTCACCCATAAAGTAGGAGACCGTCTTGCACATGGCGCCCCCGAAGATGAAGTCCTCCAGGATGTTGGGGATGAGGGTGAATGGCATGCAGAAGATGGCCATCATGAGGTCGCTGACCGCCAGCGACAGCAGGAAGGAGTTGGTGACGGTCCGCATGCGCTTGTTCAGCATCAGGACCACAATGATAAGCAGGTTGCCAAAGACGCTGAGCAGGAAGATCAAAGAGTAAAGCAGGATGCGCAGCGAGTCCGTCTCTGACAGAGAAAGAGAGAGGACATTATAAGATCTGTTTTTCTACATAGTTTGGCTGATCAATTAAAGGAAGGAAACACAACTGAATTACCAAGAACTATACACAGCTTTGAATGAATGGAATGGCGTTGTCTGTCTTCTACAATAAAAATATGAACTTGTTGTGAACTCAGTTCGTCAAAACCTCTGTGTGCCTGTGTGGGTACTTTTTCTTGTAGTCCTGGGAGACAACCAAATGTTTATTGTTACTGGAAACTGCAATAAACAAAGAAGAAAAAGTGGAAGAACAAATAAAGGAGGCAGAAGAGGAAGATTGATGGTTTAAATGGACTGGCTGGTTGACAAAAGACAAATGTAGAACATTTTCTTCATCTGTATGCAGTGCTTTTTCTTGGAATCATTCAAGCAAAACCCACACATTATATGACACATGAAATGATAAAGTAAGCAGACGTTGAATACAAAAGTGTAAGAAAACATCGATACATGAAGAGAACAGTCTCAGGTTTGTCACCTGGGAAATGAGGCTCCGGCACATACACAACACCAAAGTCTATTACAAGGCAGAATAACTTTGCATAATCAACATCTTAAATTGTGCTATGTCAATATTTTTCTGCTCGCCCTGTGAACCAGACGATAATTGAAATAAGAAAAAAAGGAAGACATACAACATCAACAGTGCTGCACAGACTGTGTCAGGCGGGAACCTAGCGGGAAAATAACTCAAACTGGAAAAACAAAATCAAAATTAAACTCTTACTATTTGCATCATCAACATTACATTTACATTAAATTTATTTAGCTGGTGCTTTTATCCAAAGCCACTTAAAGTTAGTGCGTTCAACCACGTGTGTACAATTCCAAAATTATAAGAATCATGCAGGAACAACAAATATCAAACACACTCACACACAAGTGCTCCAAAAAAAAAGACATAAAACAGTGCTGAATCACTCAAACACAAATCCATGCATGCTATGCACACTGTATATACTGTCATATCTACCTAGAAAGAAATGGCCAATAAAGCCTATTCTGAGCCTGATTAGCCTCCACTGGATAAACCCACCCCTGCATAGAAATAATAGAACATTTTCCATACCGTGCTATCACCTGACAAATACAAGTAAGAATGAAAGAAACGGTCAACTTAAATAAACGTGTTTCCTTCTTTCAGCCTTGACATACAGCTGAGCATCAGTGAGAGCTGGATTGCCCAGCCAGAGGGTTTTTGGGATGCTCTCTTCACTCACACCGGCCTGTCACAGTGAGTCTGCTTGAGAATTACAGTATCTAACAGGACAAGGTCGGGGCAGGCCGTGTGCTGTGCTGACTGTGTCCTCTCATTAAGGACAGTGACATGGGACAAGTCTAAAGGTCTGCAGCAGAGCCTGCAGACAGAGCATCACACATCAGCTTGGAGGAGCACACACACACACAAACACACACACACACACAAACAAACAGTACTGTATGTTCAAATAATTATCACTCACATGTGGGATTTACAATGTGTTTTTGTGCCACAGGTAGTGGCAAACCAAGGAAACAATGATGCAATTTTGTTTTGATAATTTCATACGGTCCTCTCACACAGACTTAAATCTCAATGCTTCCTAAATAAAAAACACATGAAACGTAACAGTGAATTGTGGTATTTCAGAAAGTATTTTTTTGTGTACAGTACAACAACACAATAATTTTGTGCACGGTGGTGCAGTGGTTAGCACTGTCGCCTTACAGCAAGAAGGTTGTGGGTTCAAACTCCGGTTTCCCCAGCCTTTCTGTGCATGGTCTGCGTGGGTTCTCTCCGGGTGCTCCGGCTTCCTCCCGCCATCCATAGACTAGGTTGATTGGTGACCCTAAATTGTCCTGAGTGGTTGTTTGTCTATGTGTGGCTTGACTGCCGACCTGTCCAGGTTGTACCCTGCCTTGCGCCCAATGTCAGCTGGGATTGGTTCAGCAAAGTTATATGGTCTTGCTTTAAGACATGTGAACACATAAAACATTCTTTTACTAACTATTTTCATTATTTTTATGTCTTGCTACTAACTAACTAACCTATGTCTTAAACCTCTTACCAAGTGGTATGTAGTGCATGGGCCTTTGTGGGCATATTTACTAATTTACTTATTTTGATACTGTGGTATTAGTATTTTGACAATTGTGTCTTATGACATACGTCTTATGTATTTAATGTGTGATATAACCATTTTGCTAAAAAAAAATTTAACGTTTCATTTGATTGTCTGTTGAGGCAAATGTTGAGGCAATAGCCAATATCAAGTTAAGGTTTTCAATTTGCAGAGGACAGCAAAGATAAAAGTAGATGAGGTCTGGATTTGAACCCAAGACACTGCAGGATGCATGTTAATCACCTCTGCCACCTGAGAGACCAAGTTGCCCTCCAATATGAATAATTCTTTTGATAAAATAATCCTCTGATGGCTTTGAGAGCAGTTTCATCAGCCAAAGATTGACAACACGGTCACATAAGCAACATCCACCCTGTTACAGCCAGTGAAATATAAATCTGCAACGCGGGTGACGAGTTTGACAAGAGTCTGATTTAAACAAAGCATTATTGGACATATGCATAATCAGCACTGACTTCTGTGACCTCCTACACAAACACCAAGAGGGGAGCCCCTACTGGCTGGGCAGCCTCTATTGTGTTAGACGTTGTGCGATTGAGCCGAGTGAAAATGGAATTATCTATTCATTGAGCACCAGCGGTACGTTGGCTCCCCTGAGCCTAACGACTGCAGGACAATTCACTTTAGTTCCTCTGACTCCCTCAAGCGTGACAGCTGTGTTCAAATCCACAGGCATCTATAAATATATCACAGGGATGGAGCTCACCTCTGAGATGCTTATTTGCAGCAGGAGTTGTTGACGTGGAAAATCTTAGCCACGACGACCCAAGGCTGAGGCATCAACACTGCAGCTTATGTTAGGGCTATATCTGTTTATCTAATCTCCGTTTGCTCTATTCGTACAGTGTATCCTATTGGCTGCTGCGATGCAAACTGTAATTATGTTTCCCCGCAAGGATCATTAAAGTTTCATTAGTTCACTTTGTCTTATCTTTAGGCGAGGATTAGCACAACTTCATAGGAGACATCATGTAATTTGAAAGCTTTGTTATTTATTAGAGGTTGTAAGATGAGTATTTTTATAGATTCATCCTGATACACAAATAAAAAATTCTAATGATCATCAATAATGAGTAGTAATAAACTTAGAGGTGATATGACTGAGATGCAAAAAAAGAGCCAAAATTCGGAACTATGCTTTTAATCACTACCTTGCCAACACGCTGTAAACCCCAGTGAGATGATGAAATATTAGACATGACTGTCAGTTCCTTCCAAATCTGATGTTACACCTAATTACAAGTGAGCAGAAAGCTCTTTGGAAATGAACCTGTGAAGCAGTAGATATGAGTCAGTTAATGAGTCCTGAACTTGTGGGAGTCAGCAACTAATTCCCTTTTCTCAAGTTCTGTTCAAGTAATAACTAGTGTCATTTAAATCAGGAGAGACAAGGGAATGAAGTAAAGATAATGTTTACTATAATAAGACATGTTGACAAAAAGGTGCAATCAAGGGTCATCTGCACTGAGCAGCAGCAAGATAAATCCCCCCATGGAGACCAGACACTGGTGGTGCTGGCTAATGACTCTTCTGAGGCTGATTAAATGATGAAACTGATAAATCTGCGAAGGTTGGGCTGTGATGGGGAGGTGGAGGGGCACGCACAAAAGCAGCACAAATGTACTAAAGGCAGACAGAGAATCATATTTTAAAAAGACAGCAGCAAGATGGTAAGCTAACAATGTAGGTATGAAACAGCTGATATGACAACTGACATCTCTGAGAGGAATTAATGGTAGGATAGTTTGAGAAATAAATTACAGGCAGGTGAGTTAAAAGCTCCGTTAAAGCTAGTAAGTGGACCTTGAGTCAAGTCATTTTTTCAAATTTCTATTCCAAGGTCAGGAAGGAACTTTTAATGAATGCATTTATGCCTGACTTAAAGTAATAATTTATATTTAGCTGACACTTTTATCCAAAGCGACTTACAATTGCTATATATGTCAGAGGTCGCATGCCTCTGGAGCAACTAGGGGTTACATGTCTTGCCACACAACAGTGGATGGGTCACCCGGGTCGCTCACACCAAAGGCAAGCATCTTATCCATTGCGCCATCACCACACCAATTTAATGTCAGTCAGTTAATGGACTTTGTTTCAGTGCTAATTTCAACACAAAAACCCGCTATTTACTTTCATATTGCATGGAAACTGTAGTTCCCTCTCAAGGGTGTGCATTTCAAAGAGATCTAACAACAGGTGCGTTTGAGAGGACTGCAGCTGATTTTTGTCAACTTGATAATCTAACGTGAGCTGCAGGTGACTGCAGGGGAGGGTATAAAAACAGTGCTGTCAAGTCGGACACATTCTACCTGCATGAGCTTACTGTGAGCTGAGATCAATGACTGATCGTGCGGGATTTGCAAGGAAAAATGTTGCAAGACCAGGCAATAGTAGGTTTTAATGTCATGTGACATGGTGACATTTTGCAGCGCCGGCGAAAGTCGGACACAATTTCTAACCAGCATGCCTTACTTGAAGTCCAGCATGCATCACATTAAGTCAGTGCTGCGCAGTGCTAAATGAAGTCAAACGCACCTAATGTGTGTGTGTGTGTGTGTGTGTGTGTGTGTGTGTGTAGTATTCTGTTTCTAAGCTTCGATAGGAACTACATAACATGGTGCACCTTGTAAGTACTACGCAAGGTTGGCAGAATCATGACGTTTCACTGTTGTTGTGCATGTTCACCTACGGAAGCACTAAGGGGCCATAGATTTATCTCTTTATTTTACTCCGTTTCCCCGTGATAATGGGATAATTATCTCGTGATCTCGAGATAACAAAACAGTAGTTTAACATAGGGGTTGGCAAGAACGTTTCTTAATGGTTCTTAATCTAATTGA